ATATGACAGACTTGCACTGAACCGCTGTTCTGTCGATCTGTCCTACCTTGTCAGATTTTCCTACCGTAGCGCAAAATTATAGCCATATCTATCGGTTCATCCTACCTCGTCGTAAAATCCTACTGAGCGTTTCTGCTTCGCGTCTGTGACTAAGTTACATAAAATATTTCTGTGTAACTTTGCCGAATTTTCTTATTGGGCCATGTTACGGTGATTTTACAGTGCAAAGTAACGTTACCTCTTCAGATTGTCCTATGAAATAAACGATAGGATGATTTTACGTTGCAAAATAGCCTACCTCATCAGATTGTGCTACCAGTATGAAATAAACGAGTAGTATGATTTTACAGTGCAAAATGCCTCATCAGATTGTCCTACCAGTATGAAATAAACGAGTAGAATGATTTTACGTTAATGTTTTCATGAAAAAAATGCTAATATGAATTTGCTTTGTATGAATGTGAGAGTAAACAGTTCTCATTACTGCTATATATCTTTGTATAGTAATAATTGACAAAAATAGTGAAAAACTTACCTCAGATGAAGAAGATCTCGCGCAAGTAGTAAAATATTATGGGCGTGTTGTTCAGCGTGACAAAAAATGACGTATTATTGATGTGCGCATGCGCAGTAAGCCTTGGTAGGACAATCTGACGGGTAGGATGGAATGTCAGAACACCGCATTTTTCTTCTTTGAATTTATTCCAGTCATATGTCAAGCAATTATTCAAAAGCATGCAAAAAATGTTGAACAGTGCACATCTAAAGTGTCTCAGCTGAAGCAAATAATGCATCATTTATTGTTTTTAATATATCGGACAAATTTTCTTATCAGGCCGATAACAATAAAATTAAAAATGATCATATATAGGCGATGTGGTGGCCGATACATTGTGCATCCCTAAAAATATTTAGTGGTCAAAATGTTAATCACAAATCACTGGTCAGGTAATTAGCAGGAATTGCACAAATACTGTAGAATAGATAATAAACAGTGTTTTTCAGGTCTAACAGTCTTTAGATACAGATTACGTACAGAAATTGAATAAAGCAATCAAATGTAAAATAACACTGATTAAATTAAATATAATAATTACAACAAATTAAATATTAGGGCTGTCAACTTTAGTCGACTAATCAGCCGATGCCGTCTTGGTCGACTGACATTCTTATTGGTCGACCAGTCGCATTTTTTTTACCAATAGAAATACATTATCAATGATTTACTCCTTGCTATTTATTCCTTTATAAGCAGTTATTTATTACTGTATTCGAAATATAATTAGCCTATGTTTTATCCCCAATTTTAAATGCTTTAATTTAGGCTATTTTTGTAACTGCGCCACACACACACATAATACACTCGGGAACCGCACCTGTGGCCGGCTGCGCTGCTGCTTCGCGCTCGGTAAGAGATATAGGTAGGCTAGTTTTGCTATTCATTTAGGTAGAACGCTACATTTTTTGGCTTTAGTCGAAATCTAAATATTTTGTCTGGCTACATTTTAAAACAAAGACGACAAGACTGTGGAGGTAGGCGACCGCGACCGCGTTCCTCCATTATGAGCGCGCACATCGCGTGCCTACATTTGAAATCGAACTTGAGCGCGCAAAAGACGTAAGCAGCCCTTTTTACGGCTTCATCATGATGGTGATTTCTTAATGTTTTCGTTTTTTATTTGTACACTTGAAGCATTTGAAAATAGCCTAAATAATGCAACAAAACGAAAATAAACCTATATGCCTTGCAGCCTTCCTACAACACAGCCTATTTCAGATTGTTTTTAGGCTTTTTTTTTTAAACGCCTAGATCGGCTGGACAAAAGTTAACCCATAGCTTTGTAAATAAAGAAGAGCCTGTATAAACGAGAGCTTTTGTTAAGATTTTTCAATATGTGGCAGATAGCAGTTATATTTTTTGCAGCGTGTGATGTGATCAGGTGCGCGATTGTGACGTTGCTACGCTATCTCACGACCAATTCGTACGAGTGATTCAAAAGTGGCTAATTCGTACTAATTCATACGACCTCATTCGTACGAATTCGTATGATTTGTCTAAACCCACGTGACGGTTATGTTTAGGGGCGGGGTCAGGGGTAGGCCATTCGTACGAATTCATACGAATTGGCTAATTCGTAAAATATGTACGATTTAGCAAAATCGTACGAGTGAGGTCGTACGAATTGTTACGAATTAGCCACGTACGAATTCCCCATAGACCTAGGACAGAGCTCCTCACTTTTTGCGGTTAAAAAAAATCACTTAATTTTCAAACAATTGTATTATTATTATAGTTTTATTTATTGTTGATGTTTTTTTGTTGTTGTTTTATAAATGCTCTATGACAATAGTTTAAAAAAGTTCAATCAAAACATCCGGGTTTTTTTTGTTAAGTCGACTAATCGTTGCGCAGGACAAGGCTTTGGTCGACTAATGATTTCTTTGGTTGACTACAGCCCTATTAAATATAGATTAATCCTAATTAAAGTTACAAAAGTTTTTGCAGTGAGTCTTTTGTTGTTTGATTAAAATTAAAAACAAACTTTAAGACAATGCACGGATCCAATATAATGATGCTGTTACACATGCATTTTCTTTCTTGACTGTTTACGTTCACTTGAGACATAACCGACTATGGCTCACTGGGCTTTCTGTCAGATGCGTACAAAGTATCTTTCGCGTCTTCTTGTGCTTGAACGTTTTTTTTCCGTGAAAAAATGCAAATGAGCCCCGCCTCTACTCACTCACTTTTTTTTGAGAATGTCTCAGTTCACTCCACATTTAAGCAGAAAATACTCAGCAATGGTGTTGAATTTATACATGGTTTGTCTAAAAAAACACCACATCGACATAAACAACATTAAAAGCTGGATTTTCACCACAGGAGGACAATTAAAAGCTTAGTGTTTAGCCATTTTAGGCTTGGCCCTTTTTTTGCCCTGTGTGTGTGTTAGAGTGCATACGTGTATGCATTCAGTTCCTAAAAGCATCAAGTAAATAAATAAATCATATTTAATCCAATCTACCTAATAAAACCTAATAATTGTGTGTGCTGCTGACTGTGCATTTGTAACGTTTTACAAAAACAGCCACTTGTTTGGACGGTTCGATTCGGTTAATATGTTGTCTTAGAAGGCAGCTGCTTATGTAGACAGTCAACAGGAAGTCGCCATTTTGTTATCTTTTCTGAACTTTCCAGAGTGACTCACGTATGAACGTACCGTGTATTCATGCAAGGCTGTGCCAAAACCTGTGGCATATAACTGAAAATGAAGCATTATCATCTAGCGCTGTCTTGTGTTTTCATCATGAGTGTGCGCACGTGGCTGACACACGACATGGTTTCTTTTTGAGGACCGTTAAACCGCACTGACTTCCTGAAATGAAGGATACAAGCTTTCTCTGTAAAACCACAGTACATCCCTAACTGCTCAAAACAACCCTGTTGATTGAATAACACTTTTCTCTGTTAAATTCGCGGGTCAGAAATTAAACCTTAATCTTTATCAGAACGGAAATCCAAACAACTTTTGGTCTGTTGTTTTCTTTCTATAAGCATCCATTAAAATGAAATTTCTTAATTTGAACTCATAGTAAATAACTGGGAATTGTTTCCAATCACGATAAATCCACATCCTCAATGTATCTATACAAATTATCATTTAAATTATTCAGCGTTCATACATAAACAATTTTTTTCAAAAGATTGACACGCTGTTTTTTTGTGTGTCAACAATTTAAGATATGTAAATATGCTAATTATCCACTGAATGCTGTGATATATCTAAGCAAATGTCCAAGGGAAAAAAAAATATATAAATATAGTAGGGGTGCACGACATATCGGCCACCATATCGGTATCGGCCAAATATATGTTCATGTTCATTCATCATTATCGGCCACATAAGAAAATTTGGCCGACATATTAAAACCGATAAATAATGGATTATTTGCTTCACAAGTATGTTTTTGAATTGCTTGAAATATGACTGGAATAACTTCTAAAAGGAAAATACAGTAAAGTGCAACAGTAAGTGCAGCTTAAGTCTTTTATATCGGCTAAAATTATAATGAGAACATCATTATAATTGTGTGCTTGGGACATGGCTTTTAATGTTGAGACTTGTGTATTTGTAATCAGGTTCTCAAACGTTTGGATTTTGATTTATCGCCCAATATATTGGCTTTAAAATATTAAGAATTATCGGTTATCGGTTTCGGACAAAATTTTTATATCAGTGCATTCCCACAATCACAAAAGAGTGAAAGAGGGTGTATCTAAACAGAGTCACCACATTAAAAATTATTCATTAACCCTAAAACTGTATTCTGGACAAATGTGGGAAAAATAGTTTTGATTTATTTTTAAAAAATACTTCCCTTGATCTGAGCGGTACAAGACTTGGCTACTTTTTCTAAGTTTGCCTCCTGAACAAACACAATTTTTTTGACTCAATTCTACAATGTTAAGCGGGTGAAAAAAAAACTCCTTAATTTTTTATTTGGGTCAAAAATGGGCAGAAATGAATGGGAAAAACTGTAATTTAGAGCATTCTAAAATAAGACACCAGGTGACAGCAAAGTCACTTCATCTTTAGGTTTTAGCTCTAATAACTTATTGGAATCATGTTTTAATGTAGTTAAAAAAAAAAAAATATAAAATATAAAAATAACCATAATTTACATAAAAAATATGGTACGTTTGAAGTAAATAAATTCCAAAATACCCCCAAAATAAAAAAAACACCATAAATGGATAGACAAAACTTTATCGAAGACAGTGATATAACATTTATAATAAATAAAAAATTAGGATCACACCTGAGTCCTCCGTGCCCACATTAGTCCACAATTACAGGATTAAGGGCTATAAAGTGAATACGGTTTGAGGGCTATGACCTACAAATGTAAATTGTAATACAACTCATGTCTCAAGCCAATTTTGCTACTTAAGTGTGACTTCATTGCATTTTTACGCAGGAACTGTTTTTTCTTTTCAGGGTTTGCAGGTGAAGACAGACTATATCCCCTTGCTGCAATCACTGGCTTCATTTGGATGGAGACTCACTTGTGTGCTGCCTACACCCATCATCAAGACTAACAGGTAGAGACTCCTAGCTAAAATAATTGCCTTAAAGGGGTGGTATAATGCCCTTTTCACAAGAAGATGTAAAATAAATCTAATAAATGTCCCCAGAGTGTGTGTGTGAAGTTTTAGCTCAAAATACCCCACAGATATTTTTATATAGCATGTTAAAATTTACACTTTTTGAGGGTTAGCAAAAACCATAGACTGTAAAAAAAAAAATATGGACGTAGTGTCCGTGACGTCACCCATAGGTTTCTGAAGAGCGTTTTTGAAGCCTAAAGTGGGCGGGGCCGGCCGTCGCCATCTTGGCAGCGCGTCACCTCTCGTCACTACCCGATAAAATAAAATGGGCAAAGAGGCGGGTCGTGGGTGGAGCTGAGGTGCTAATGCTATATTCTGATTGAAGAATTAAAGCCAATAGTTAAAGTTCATGTTTTTGCCCTTCAAAATATTATAATAGCTAAAAAACGTAACTAAAAGTGAGACTTTACACTCTGGATTTTGTATTTCAACGCAATTTTGTAGTTCACTTTTGAAAAAACTTTTGCTGATAATTTACTCGCCCCCATGTCATCCAAGATGTCCATGTCTTTCTTTCCTCGGTCGAAAAGAAATTAAGGTTTTTGATGAAAACATTCCAGGATTTTTCTCCATATAATGGACTTCAATGGGAACCAGACGGTCCAAGGTCCAAAAGACAGTTAATAACTGTTTCAGATGCAGCTTCAAATGTCTTTAAACGACACCAGACGATGAATAAGGGTCTTATGATGCGAAACGATCGCTTATTTCAAAACTTATTCCAAAAATGTAAGGACAAATGCAAGCCTTGCTCTATTCTGTGAGGCGCGTTTGAGCCGGAAGTACAGAGTCAGTGTTTACAAGTTGAACGCATAGGTTGAACGTGCAAACTAGCTCAAACGCCGTTTACAAAAAAAGGAATTAAAAGGTAAAACAACGATGTCGGACGATTTTGATTCTGTACTTCCGGCTACGTCGCCCGTGACCTTTTGAACGTAATTGCATATTACGTGACGTTGCAAACGCGCCTCACAGAATGGAGAAAGGCTAGCATTTGTCCTTAGAAAAGTTACATTTTTGGAATAAGTTTTGAAATAACCGATCGTTTCGCATCATAAGACCCTTATTCATCGTCTGGTGTCGTTTAAAGCCCTTTGAACAGTTTGCACTGAAACTGTCTTTTGGACTTTGGACTGTCTGGTTCCCATTGAAGTCCATTATATGGAGAAAAATCCTGGAATGTTTTCATCAAAAACCTTAATTTCTTTTCGACTGAGGAAAGAAAGACATGGACATCTTGGATGACATGGGGGCGAGTAAATTATCAGCAAAAGTTTTTTCAAAAGTGAACTACTCCTTTAATAAAGCCCCGGTCTTACAGATCATTATCTAAACAAAATTTTTTTTTGGACAAAAAAACAAAAGTGGAAGAGAGGGGTATGCAGAAGGATCATAACCCACTAAGCGACTCTAAAAAGCTTGGGTAAGGGCATCCAGAGGTAGATCCAGTGACTAGACGACCTCCAAATAAAACCACTGTCAATGAAGGGAATTGGCTTTAGAGGTAGGAAACAAAGTGATCAATTGAGTTTGTGTAAACACCACATGGGGCGTCATTTCCAACATCAAGTCAGAACAATAGCACAACGCACACAGAGTAATAGTGCATCCCAAACTCCAACCGTGTCAAAGTGCTCGGGGTATAAAGACCTCTCAGACCTCATGGAGGCAGAACATGATGTTTGCTCGCTGTAATGAAATGTCAATACAAGCTAACTGATGATTCCTGTAATAGCAGGTGGAAGCTTCCGGCGATGTCGAACTGAAGTTCAGCATGTAATCTTCATCTGTCATACGATCCCGCATTGGCCTTTCTCTCACACGTCAGCTTTCCATCCCTGCTGATTAATTACGGCCTATTTTAAACTTTCACAAAAAGCCACAACGCAGCTATACGGCTAATTAATCAAAACGCTGTCCTAGATACAACACAACCGTCACTTTTCAATGTCTTGGAAACGGCTGGCCTTGTTTTCCTGGGTGGCGGAAAACAACATACGAGTGACACTCTCGGTTCTTACTAGGGATGAAATGGTTACCAGTTTGATGCTAAACCACACTAATAAAAAATTCTCGACGTTTAGTATTTGAGATATTCATTATTAAAAACTATATTTGAGAATCACAATTTGAAAACAGTCTAACGCAACGTAGGTTTGGTTTTGTGTGAAAGTGCTGAAAGAATTTATGAGGGAATGACTGTATGAATAAATTAATTCTGTCTTTAGAAAAGTTATAAAGAGATTCGCTTTCCATCTTCCCTCGGTGTAACGCCTGATAAAGTCGTGTTTATATCTGCTGTTCCACAAGCGCCACCTACTGTCAGAGAGTAGATTTACATTTTCATTCTACATGTCTGCTGTTTTTATTCAGAGTAATATGAAAATGTTTTTAAATTTGTATATCTAAAAATGCCAACACTTCAGATGTACAGTAGAATTGTTTATGATGTCCTAAACTTTCATAAAACTTTAGCCTAAAACTAGGCCTAAACCGTTATAATATTGATAACCTTGATCATTTTGGTCACTATAATAATCAAGATATGAAAATTTCATAGCGTTTTATCTCTAGTACTTGCATAATATGTATGTCACTAAATTTATTACCAGTATTAGTGAAGCTATTTTAAAACTGTAAATTAATCTAACATGATATAAAGTAAATGACGAGCAAACTACAGGTGAAACTTAGAATATGGTGCAAAATTCATTTATTTTAGTAATTCAACTTAAAAGTTGAAACTAATATATTATATAGACTCATTACATGCAAAGTGAGATATTTCAAGCCTTTATTTGTTATAATTGTGATGATTATGGCTTACAGATGTGAAAACCCCAAATGCAAAATTAGAATATTGTGAAAAGGTTTTCATATCTGTTAACTATAATAACAAATAAAGTCTATACAATATATTAGTTTCACCTTTTAAGTTGAATTACAGAAATAAATTAACTTTTGCACCATATTTCAAATTTCAACTAGGCCTAAAACGTTATAATATTGATAACCTTGATCATTTTGGTCACTATAATAATCAAGATATGAAAATTTCATAGCGTTTTATCTCTAGTACTTGCATAATATGTCACTAAATGTATTACCAGTATTAGTGAAGCTATTTTAAAACTGTAAATTAATCTAACATGATGTAAAGAAAATGACTAGCAAACTACAGGTGAAACTTAGAATATGGTGCAAAAGTTAATTTATTTCAGTAATTCATATTCATATTATATAGACTCATTACATGCAAAGTGAGATATTTCAAGCCTTTATTTGTTATAATTGTGATGATTATGGATTACAGATATGAAAACCCCAAATTCAAAATTAGAATATTGTGAAAAAGTTTTCATATCTGTAAACTATTATAACAAATAAAGTCTATATAATATATTAGTTTCACCTTTTAAGTTGAATTACAGAACTTTTGCACCATATTTCGAGTTTCACCTATACAGTCAGACTACCGTTTTGAAGAATTGCACTACCGTGATTTTTTACAGACAGTAATTTTAATGTCAAATAAATGTTGTTCTTTTAAACTTTCTATTCATCGAAGAATCTTGACACATAAAATGAAGCCGTTTCAGGCAGCTCAAGAATGCAGATGAGTTTGTTTATCTGCTATATTTCCACACACTTCTCATTGATATGCATCAGGCCGCACCGAACGCTTGTACATTCATTACATTCAAAAATGCCGAAGTTACCATTCAATTAAGCCCTTAATGATGGGGATTGTATAGGCGGCGTGTGCCTAGTTTGGATGCTGGCGAGACTGAAGACCAGAGCTGTAATTTCACCGTCCACTCGTTTACATTTTAATGGACTGAGGCTTGCAGGAATCCAGCTTTTCCCTCTGATTTAAGCAGGAAGCTCTTGAATAAATATACAGCTCCTTGACAAGCAAGAAAATGGGAAGTGGGAGGGAAAAGAAATCAAAGCAGGGACGATTTAGACATTTGGTATTGATTGCAAGCTTATGCCAGAGATGCAGAGGCACGCTTGATTTGTGGCAGAATCGTAAAGGGAAACAGAGAGCGTGAGAAAGATTGAGAGTGTTTTCGTAAAACATCTCTGAAGATTAAACGGCTTATAACCGAACTGTGTTTTATCAACTTTTTAGACGTGCATTCACCCCAGAAACTCACCACACTCGAGGATCAGGGCTACATTAGCCCTGACAAAACGGCAAGAAAGAGAGATTTAGTCATCACAGGATTTCACAAAACGGATATTTTGTTCATCCGTGTCAATGGCGGATGTTCCCACAGCTAAAAAAAAAAAAAATTAAGAAGATCTCCAGGGTGGTTTCTTGCACCATCCAGCATTATTGGAGCTATAAATACAAGATAAGATGCTGAATAAACAAGCGCACTCTAATAAACAAGACGCATCCGCTATGCGAAATGTTGCATAGCTGGAACTGGAATAAACAACTTAAACTAGCTAGTGTAGATGACCTTTCAATTTGTCTTGTCATATTATGCAACAAGAATCAATCGAAGCATATATTTTTGACTTAATCTAGTGTACATTTATAGCTTATTCTTGCCAAAAACAGCCCGTTTTGATGTTAAAGTCCCCCTGTTGTGAAAACATGTTTATGTGGGGTTTTTAATACGCTTAAACCATGTGTAAGTTGTGCGAATTTGTGAGTATTTCCTCCTTAAAACTGCAGTGAACCAAAGACAGTCTCAAAAACACGGTGTGAACCAATCAGATCAACGTGTGATTGTGAGTGAGTGAGTGGAGGCGGGGCTCATTTGCATATTCATAGAACCGCAAATACTAAATGAGGCAAGGGTGTCGAGTTACATTCAAGATTTTAAAGACATGAAGGAAAAAAACATTTAAATACGTCTTTTTGGTGATCAAAGATGAGATTTAAGGTACAAAATGATTGACTACATATATATTTTTTTGCACTGAAAATATCAGTGAATTATTATTTTTTAATGTAAATTTATATAATCTAGTTGGATATGATGTAAACGGCCCCCAGTCAAGTTTGATTTTTGGCCCTTCTTATTAAAAAGTTTGGGAACCTCTGCCAACTTTCTATTTTAAGGAATATCACACATTTTTTCTTGTTTTAATTCCAATGTTAAATTTTGTTTGCCAAATTTTTCAAAGGAAACATGAAAAAATTAGGGATGGACAACGATTAATCGCAATTAATCTCATCCAAAATAAAAGTTTGTGTCTACATAATATATGTGTGTGTAGTGTGTAGAATTAATTTGTATATATAAATACCCACACATGCATGTACATATTTAAGAAAAATGTGTTATTAATATATCAAATATTTATATTTATATATCATATTAATTATGTATAAATATATATATATATACATGCAAATATTTCTGCATGTGTGCATATTTATATATACAAATTAATTATACACACTACATACACATATATTATGTGAATACAAACTTTTATTTTGGATGCGATTAATCATTGCCCATCCATAGAAAAAATGTGTAGATTTAATTTGTTGATGTTGAATAAGAAATGCTTTGATTAATAACATTTCATATAATTAACCAGTAGAACAGAATCCAGAAGATTTTTTTAAATGGAAGGAAAAAAAGGAATTCAGAAAAATATATATGGAATAGAGGCACTCTAGACCTGGACCAAGCCTTATAACCATATCTAGACTAGATAATTAATTAATCTGCTTCTGTCTCATCAGTGATGGAAGTCTGGCCACCAAACAGATCGTTTTCCTCCAGAGGCCGATGTTGCCTCGCAAGAAGAAAGAATCCAAGGTGAGTGAACTCTTATTCCAGACACACACACACACACACTCACTTACAACCTCTCACAAACACACTCACCCTCTTACACACACTCACTCTCACTCTCACATACACACATTCACTCTGCAGCTGCCCAGCTGAAACACAGTTTGTGTTAGCAGTGTATCTACAGGGTTCAGGCGTTTCCTTAAATCGCCACATAAAATGAGGCAAAAAAGCACAAGACGCTTGAACAGAACAATGCATAATTTAAACAAATATTTGGCTCCATGCCACTTGAAAGAAAACCACAGCGAGTGTATGTGTGTAGTGGGTGTTGCTGCGTGTGTGGTTTTCCTGAAGATGTTTATTTACATGGCAGTGTTGTCTTTTTACTTTTTTTGTTTGGAAGAAAGGGCCGATGCAAACGCGCTGTGCTACAGTACATTGCAACATTACAGACTTTGATTTGAAGCAAAAAAAAATCAGAAAAAAAAATACAAAGACTGTATTTAGTGGCTTCAGAGAGGGAAAGAACTACAATCCCATGAAGCATTGCGAAAACAGTATAATCGAGTTAAATGATAGAGAAAATATCAAACTACGCATTAAAAAATGTTGATACATAAATAAATATAGGCCTACATAAATGTATTGCAAAATATGCATATCTATTCAAATATAATTTGAGAGCGAAGGCATATCGACTTGATTCCATTTTTTTTATGGGAGTGGGCGGAGCTAAATAGCTCTTTTGGCATGTTTTGCTTGTTTCGGCTCTCTGATTGGTGGAATTTTCTGTACAGCATCATGGGTAATGCAGTTTTTCACCAGGAATTACACTGTCAAACATGTTTACTTTAAGACTAAGGTGAAAACATGCGAGCTGACGACAACAAGAGCAAATACCATCGATTAACAACCTCGTAGCTCACAGTAGGGCTGACTTTAACGGTTTATAAGTTATTGTTAAAACAAAATAATACAATAGTTTTTTCCATCTATCATCAGAGAGAGAGAGAGAGAGAGAGAGAGAGAGAGAGGTTATGGTAAAGCATGAAAGGCTTTTTGACACTTACTTCAGTACAGTAGGTGACTCATTCAGGGCTGGCGTGACAAAAGTCCTGTCACTGTTGTCCGGTTTTTCAGACACACTGTTATTGTATAAAAGCACCTGTTGACTAATCTGGTTTCAGACAGTTTTCCGACACAGCAAAACGCGACGTGTAATTATTTATTTCACGGCTCTCTGGATTACTTGACGTTTGATTAATCAATCGCGGCATCCAACGGTCTAATACATTTGTGTCCATAGCAACGCCGTCATCTGCTCTCGTGGCAAACTGAACTGGCGCCACTTTTACGTCTTTCGCGCGCCTCACTCTCATTCACAAGTGACGCAACGCAACTAGCGACATCTTGCGTCTCGGATATCCATTACAGTAAAAACCATTACTGGAATATTTTTGCTGTGCTTTTAGTCTATGGACTGTTGTAATGGACTGTTATTTCTTTGATTTGTTAAGATAATTTAGGCTACAGGTAGGTCATTTCGATTTAAATTAATTTTTATTACATTAATGATTGCCCTCAGAGAGAATATATATATATATATATATATATATATATATATATATATATATATAATATATATATATATATGATTTGTAATAAATATTACCTATTATTTATATTATATAAAATAAATTGTTATATTTAAAAAGGTATAAAAAATTGAATTTTATAACTGTATAAAAAGTAGATATTACATTTTGCAGTGTTTTTTAATTAATTATAAAATACTTAATACATTTAAATAAATCAGAATTTTGATAAAGATTGTACATAAAGTGTAATTTTTTATAGAAAAATGTTATGGAAGTGTTGATTCATAAAATGATGATAAAATAGCCTAATGATAAAGCATTATAACCAAACACACTTTTTAAAGAGACAATTCATGAAATATGTTCTTGTATTTTAGGTCTATCTCATTATCTTTTCATTTAAAAAAAAAGTCTCAAAACTCTCTGTCGACATTGTCTATTTCAGAAAGTCATCTTTAAAGCACGGAACAAGTCCAACAAGAACTCGGTGAAAGACGCACCAAAGAACAAGAAGAAGAAAGAGAAAGAGACGAGTGATCAAAAGAGCAGCGGCGGAGCCGAGAAGAGCGCAGACGACACGAATACAAGCGTGAACGAGCGACGGGGGGAAAACATGAGTAATGAGGAAGGAGAGGAGACAGAGGCGACAGGAAGTGATGTCACAGCTGGCAGGGAGAAGCAGGAAGCAGGAAGTAGCGAAAGAGATGGAAACGCTGAGGAGAAGGTAAACGAGAGTAGTGTGAAAACTGAAGCTGAAATGGGGTCATATAACGACACGGGACGGCAGGAAGAGGAAGTGGACAAACAGGAAGATGGCTCAGCCAATCAGGATTGAGGATGCGCTCAACCCACCTGGCGAATGGAAGTGGGCCTTTATGAATGTTAAAATGCTATATACCTTGCAAAAAAAAAAAAAAAAAAAAAATCTCTCAATATTTTGTCTTGTCCAGTATCTAAACATCCTTAAAACAAGATCAATTCAATTGATGCCTTCAATTTAAGTACAATCAACTTGAATGTTTAAGTCATTTCAACTTAAATTACATTAAACTGACTTTAAAAAAATGAGTTGAATCTCTGTATAATCCTGTGATTATACAATGTAAAAACACGTTATCATAACTTATTAATCATATCATTTTTAGGGCTGGGCAACGATTAATCACATCCAAAATAAAAGTCTGTCTTTACATAATAGATGTACTGTAAATGTATTTTGTATATATAAATACACTCACATGCATTCAGAAATATTTGCATGTGTATTTATTTATACATCATTTATATTATATACTGTATAAATATAAATATTTGACATAATTATCACATTTTTCTTAAATATATACATGCATGTGTGTGTGTATTTATATTCAAGATACATTGTATAGTACACATAGGTAAAACTCGAAATTAGAATATCGATCAAAAGCTTATTTCAATTCAACTTTAAAGCTGAAACTAATATAGACTGAATATAGATTTCAAGCCTCTATTTGTTATAATTTTGATGATTATGGCTTACAGATATGAAAACACCAAAGTCAAAATTAGAATATTGTGAAAATGTTTTCATATCTGTAAACTATTATAACAAATAAAGGCTTGAAATATCTCACTTTGCATGTAATGAGTCTATATAATATATTCGTTTCACCTTTTAAGTTGAATTACTGAACTTTTGATATATTAAAATTTTTCGAGCTTCACCTGTATATTATGCAAACACAAACTTTTATTTTGGATGTGATTAATCGTTGCCCAGCACTAATAATTTTACTTGAAAAAAATAAACGTCTTGTTTTATTAATGTTTAGATGCCCAAGACATGACAAAACTACTGGTTGCCGTGGTGAAGCTTTCAGTTTCAGACTGTCACACACACACACACACACACCTCTTGACCAATACTGAGCGTTTAACTGGAGCGATGGCGTCTTTAAAGAGCCAGAAGGACTCCGGGATCCGGGAAGAGGAGGGCCGATGGGAAGAGAGAGATCAGTCGATGCACTGGATGGGAAAACCACATTAATATTTAGTGGATGAGCCCAGAGGGACTCGAGGAGACCGTTGCGAGAAGCAATCTATTGTGATGTATATGGTGCATTTGTTTGTGTGTGTTTTTGTTTACCTTTATAGGAATATTTCATGGCACCGTCCGAACACAAAAAGGTCAGATTCTCTAGACTTTAAGAGAAACATACTGGGAATATCGATATTACTTTTTTAGATGGGACTTTTTTGTAAGTTTGGGTCGTTAACTTTCTGGTTTAAAGGGATAATTCACGCAGAAATTAAAAATCTGTCATCATTTTATTTGTCAATGTTGTTCCAAACCATGCAGGAAGTCATAATTATGAGAAATTGACATACTAAGTTATAGTTTTCAGATAAAATGTTGAAATTATCACATACAAGATTTACACATTTTAATTCTACACTCTTAGAAGAAATGGTTCTATTTAGAACCAGAAATGGTTCCATCCCCCGCTTCATATATGGAACTCCAAAATGGTTCTATATAGAACCATTTTTTTTGGTAAAAGGTTCTATTGGCCAAGTACGGAACCCCAGGGTTCTATATAGAACCCAGAGGAACCCTTTTTTTAAGAGTGTACATGGGTTCCAAATACGATAGAACCTTTTAAGGTTCTATATTGAACCTTTTCTTCTAAGAGTGTATAGTAAAATTCCCTCAACTTGAATTGAATAATCCTTACATTTTCATAATTATGAACTAGTAAAACAACTAGAGCTTATAAAACATTTCACGTAAATCCTAATGGATTCATATTCATACACTGTAAAAAAAATATTGTTGGTTTAACTTTAAAAAGTAAGTAACCTGGTTGCCTTTTTTTATTTACGTAAATTTTAAGTTAATTGAAATTGAAAAATTGAGTTAATACAATGAAGGATATTGATTTAATCACTATAAACTCAAAATATTGTTATCTGAACTACATAAATTATTTAAGTTGATTTCACAAAAGAAAGATTTTTTTTGTGATTAAAAATCATGAAAATATATTTTTTACAGTGTATACAATTAAAATTCGTAAAATCTTTAAATAAAATACTTTTTTTGAGAGTAGTATGTCATAATTATGAGGCGAAAAAATCTGACTCAAATTAACATAAATATACATAATAACATTGTGCATACACTATATTTTTATGCTTGTTAGATTATTGCATTGTTTTCTTAGCCACAGCATACATTAATAAATCATCCATTGAATGTCTGCAACAAATGGTGATTAAATGATGACAGAATAATCATCATTTCAGGTGAATTATTCCTTTTAAAAGAGGCAGATGTTAACAAGCTTCAGTTTCGGTCCAGTTGGGCTTCACTTCACTTTCACGTCAAGACAAGCGGCTATAGCAAATGATTTCAGCATTTCTCTAAAAGCAATGACGGGATTTAGATGTTCCCTGCTTTACTGCACAAGGTGTGTTTATAGGCACATTAACTCACTGACACTTGCTAATGTTCATTCTGACCCTGATCCACATCCAGATCCAGTCCGTGTTTTAAAACTGACATTGTTTTTTTTACCAATTTATCAACATGAAATCAAAATGAACCATGGCTTGCTTAAAATAGCAAGAGATGTGGCACATGTGTGCATAGACCAAAATGAAATAAGTAATGGTTTTCTCTGAACAGAATTCATAAAGATACTGAGTTTCTATAATGAAAATTGCATGGAGGCGAAATCCGAAATCCGTGTTTCATTCAGACCGCCGTCAATTTTCAATTTGCATGAGCAAATAAGTGTATATACGTGGATAATCCATAACAGAAGGTTGTGCTGGGATAGAGGGTTTATTTCATGACCGTGATGTCATCATCTGCGATGTTTCAGTGAGCAACAGGACACGCTCCTGCGGCTTTTATTAACGAGCAGAAATCACATCCCATAATCCAACTCAATCACAGGAATATGGTTTCAGAAAGCATTATCTGACTCAAGGTTTTGGTTTTTTCATTATTAAAAACGAACAAAAAGGCTGTGTGTTAAAGAAATAATATTCACACAGAAGTCACTAAAACTAACATTTAAACCAATCAGCTCTCTGTTGGTCAGCGCAAAATCCTTCGCTCTCGTTGAAATTACACATTTTATTACACATTGAATAAAACATTTTAAAAGATAATTGCGACTTTTTATCTCACAATTGCGCGTTTACATAAACTCTCATACCTTGCGTGTTAAAAAATTCAGAATTGCAAGATAGTCGCAATTGAAAAAAAAGTCAGAATTGCAAGATATAAAGTCAGAATTGCAAGATGTAAAGTCAGAATTGCGTGATATAAAGTCAGAATTGATTGATATAACGGTCACAATTGCGTGTTAAGTCAGAATTGCTAGATATAAAGTCAGAATTGCGAGAAATAAAGTCAGAATTGCGAGATATAAAGTCAGAATTGCGAGAAATAAAGTCAGAATTGTGAGATATAGTCAGAATTGCGAGATATAAAGTCAGAATTGCGAGATATAAAGTCAGAATTGCGAGATATAAAGTCAGAATTGCGAGAAATAAAGTCAGAATTGCGAGATATAGTCAGAATTGCGAGATATAAAGTCAGAATTGCGAGATATAAAGTCAGAATTGCGAGATATAAAGTCAGAATTGCGAGATATAGTCAGAATTGCGAGATATAAAGTCAGAATTGCGAGATATAAAGTCAGAATTGCGAGATATAAAGTCAGAATTGCGAGAAATAAAGTCAGAATTGGGAGATATAAAGTCAGAATTGCGAGAAATAAAGTCAGAATTGCGAGAAATAAAGTCAGAATTGCGAGAAATAAAGTCAGAATTGGAGATATAAAGTCAGAATTGCGTGATATAAAGTCAGAATTGCGAGATATAGTCAGAATTGGGAGATATAAAGTCAGAAATTGCGTGATATAAAGTCAGAATTGCGAGATATAAAGTCAGAATTGCGAGAAATAAAGTCAGAATTGCGAGAAATAAAGTCAGAATTGCGAGATATAAAGTCAGAATTGCGAGATATAAAGTCAGAATTGCGAGATATAAAGTCAGAATTGCGAGAAATAAAGTCAGAATTGCGAGAAATAAAGTCAGAATTGCGAGAAATAAAGTCAGAATTGTGAGATATAAAGTCAGAATTGCGAGATATAAAGTCAGAATTGCGAGAAATAAAGTCAGAATTGCGAGATATAAAGTTAGAATTGCGAGATATAAAGTCAGAATTGCGAGAAATAAAGTCAGAATTGCGAGAAATAGTCAGAATTGCGTGATATAAAGTCAGAATTGCGAGATATAAAGTCAGAATTGCGAGATATAAAGTCAGAATTGTGAGATATAAAGTCAGAATTGCGAGAAATAAAGTCAGAATTGCGAGAAATAAAGTCAGAATTGCGAGAAATAAAGTCAGAATTGCGTGATATAAAGTCAGAATTGCGCGATTTAAATTCGCAATTGCGTGTTATAAAGTCAGAAATGTGAGATTTATACTATTCTGAGGGGAAAAAAAGTTACTTTTCTTCACCTTAGAATTGGCCTGATATCTCGCAATTGCGGGTTTATATCTCACAATTCTGAGAAAAGATGTCAACTCGCAATTGTGAGAAAAAAAGTCAGAATTGTGAGATAAAAAGTCAGACTTGTGTATTTTTTCTCACAATTGCGACTTTATTTCTCAGAATTGTGACTTCATATCTCGCAATTGTGAGATAAAAAGGTCGCAATTATTTTTTTTATTCAGTGATGGAAACAAGCTTCCATACGTGGGCGGGGCTTGATTGTGTCTGTGGGGAATTGATTGGATGGGTGTGGTTTGCTATTGGCTGATCTCCAATAGGCCCCGCCCACGTCATCAGAGAAGAGAGACGAGGGGAAGTTACTCTGATTCAAGCATGAATTTAATGTCTTGCACAGAGAAAAATAATAATT